AAATTTTTGCAAAGAGGGTTGAATGTAATTCAACTGGAGGGGAGTCTTTCACTCAGAAATTCAGAGGCACTAATTGATGTTCTAGAGGGCTTTCATGGAAGACAATGCAATGTAATGTCAATGGACATTAAGGATCTATACTATTCGCTTGAGAAAGTGCGCTTGATGCAAAGAGTTTGGCAAGTGCTAGAGTTAAACCTGGTAAACTTTCAGTTCAGGACGGGCATCGCCGTCGACAGTTTCCTTTCACTTCTTGATTTGTACCTTCAAGCAACAGTTGTTCAATATAATGGGCAGAAATATGTTCAAAGAGATGGTGTATGCATTGGATCTTTCGTGGCTCCGATGTTAGCAGAAATCTATCTTAACACCTTAGATAGCTGCGTAAGTGAAACGCTTAAAGAAAATAACTTGAATGGTTGCATTGTTAAAAGGTACGTGAATTATATTTTTATTTGCGCTTTTCGAGAGAATGATGCTCAGGGTTTGGAATCGATTATAAAAGCAGCAGCTCCGGAGCTTAGGTTTACAACTGAAAAACCTGAAAATGGGATCCTGCAGTTTTTAGATTTACGCGTACATGTCGAACAAGGTCTTTGTTGGGAATACGGGAAAAAAGCCGGAAAACCTGTGTTAAGTAGAAAGAGTTGTCACGCGAAGTCGGTTAAAGCAGGGGTAGTTAAGTCCTTAGTAACAAACGCGTTGGGTAAATCATGCGCACATCTTATGAGTTGTGCTGTGAAAGAACAGTGGAGGAGGCTAGAATCTGCAGGTTATGAAGAAGAATTTATTAAAAGACAATTAGAACTGAAATTTAACAACGAACCACGTGAAAAAGAAGCAAGAAAGAAGATAACAGTAATCCCGTATTTCCACGGGATTTCCCACAACCTAAAGCCTCTCGCAGAAAAGTTCGGCGTGGACGTAGTGTTTTCTTCAGATTTAAAAATGAGCAGGTTGACGCCCTTTCTGTCGGACCACAAGGGCTGTCAGAAGGCCCATCGGGAACCTTCAGTTCCTTGCAAAGAGAGTGTAGTATATGAGATTCCGTTGACATATGGATTTAAGTACGTGGGACAAACTTCAAGATGCCTCAATGACAGGTTACTAGAACACAAGAGAAATGTACACACGCATGCGCCGAACTCCGAAATAGCAAAGCACATAGAGGAATGCAATAATTGTAATGCGCATTGGTCACAGACAGAAGTTCTGCATAAAGAGCGAAATGACATTAAGAGGGTCATTAAAGAAACAATAAGAATGAGTTATATTGGAAACTGCATAAGCCAAGCATCGATGCAACTTGGACGCAACTCCAAAAAGTTTCTCACACTTTGAACGAACGCATTCGGTTTACGAGAAAAGGGGGGGGGGGGGGGGGGGGGGAGAGACAATGTATATGTGTATATACATCTATAATATATATTTTTTTTTAATGTGTTTGTGATCGCGGTTTCGAGATCACTTCGGTGTGTTTTCCCAAGGAAAAGAAAAAAGGAAAGAAAGGTGTTCTCTTTGTGGTCTCTTTATGTCTGGGTGCGTCGCCACGTTTTAGAGGCCACCTGTGTGTGTGTGTGTTTTTTGTTTGTGTGTGCGTTTCGACGCGACTGTTAGGATAATTTGGAACATATCTCTCTCAAGGTTACTGCGATGATCCGCAGTGTCCCATTGTTAAGTCCTCGTCTCATGTGTGGGTTGTTTTGTATCTTTTGCGCGCGTTCCATCCGGTTCGAAATGTCTGCAACAAAGGAATTTATCTGTAGAGTGTGGTTGGGAAAAAGTTCCGTGGGTACTTAAAGGCTGTTTGAGAAATAAACCAGTTAGCTGAGTTTGAGACGTTCTCTGTGTCTGTTCCTTCTACTGAAAGTTCTTCCGATTTCTTCCACCGCAGTCTCAGGTGTAATACGACATGATTAGCTACCACCAGCTCGCCTGCACTCTCACCGTCTGCTCACATTTTGAAGTTGTCATTTTTTCCACGCACTATATCTAATTTGAACACACTGCCCTATAACTTTTTTTATCGTCCTCACTTTAGTAGAGCACTAAATGAACACCCCATTATATTTCTGTCGTATTTTTGTGTTCGAGCGCTGATTGCATATTCTCAGTCTTTGCTATTTTCCTTACCGTTAGTTATGTAAAACGGTAATTGGAATTTTGAAATGTACCTTGTTTAAAAAAATAAATATATATATTTACATGTTTTGGATCGGTACGTTGATCGTTTATTCCGATAGTCATTGCCATTCTTCTTACTGTTAGGTATATAAAAGAATAGTTGAAATATTGAAGTGTGTCTTTTTTATGAATCGCATGTTTTGGGTATGTACCCCACACCTGCAAGGGCCTAATCAAGGCCTCAACTATGTAATAAATAAATAAATCAAAAAATAAAATAACAATTATCAAGTGCGATGCTTATTTTCAAATAGAATTTGACCGCCGTCTTTTCAAGAACAGACCTCGAAACCCGGGCTTTGCCAGTTTATTCTGTATAAGAAAAATGTTCACTTGAGTACGCGCTATTTTAGGCCGGATTCGACCTGAGTGCGAAGATGCTTATAAGTTATAGACTGAACCATTTCGATCGCTTTTTTCGGCATAATTTTTCGCCTGCATCACGGCGCTGAGTGCAAAGGCTGTTAGGAAAACAAGCGTTCTCATTGTCAGGCTTTCTACAAAAGGTATGTCACTGACCCAGAGTGTCTACAAATGCACGTGTTTGTCATAAATTTTTCAACTGCTTTTTTCTCAGTTGCGTCATCATCATATACAGAGTGCAGCCGTATGGATTAACACAATTAGAACGGCGAGTTGGGCTAGTTGGTTGTACATGCTTGAAGTGGGGCGCCAAAACAACGAGGACACAAGGAGAGATGCAGACAGGACGAGGCGCACTTTCAACTGAACTTTATTTTTGAAAAACACAGAAACTCAAGCTATGCCCAATGTACACGTGCGCATGGGTAAGAAATAAAGATACAACGAAGCCCAGCGCGTTTTCCTACGTGACACGTTCATTTTGAAGGAACGTATACTCCCTATCAGATAGAGATAAAGGTGGGGCGCTGACACAGACATCGGTGCCACGAGATCTTATGGTGAAGGACTCCAAGATTTCGCGAGCTATTTTTGTTGCGCCGCTTCCAACAATTCTTGTTTCGTCAAACTTTGGGTCACACTCGCATCGAGCACAGTGTAGTGCCAAGTGGCCAGACGGGGGTTGCCTGGTTGACCCAGTATGCTCCCTGATTCTATCATTAATGCACCGCCCCGTCTGGCCAACATACACTCTCCCGCATGAAAGGGGTATCTCATAGACGACTTCAGTGACGCAATCGCGGGTACTGCGTCACGTGTCTCTTTTTGCATTCCCTTTCTGTCGCAGTGGCTTTACCTGAGCTCCTATTGATCCTATTGCACAATGCAGAAAGTTTATTTGGCGCAGAAAAGACAACTGGTATGCCAAATCTATTGGCTACCTTCTTCAGGTTGTGGGATAGTCTGTGTATGTAGGGCAAGACCGCAGGTCTGGCCGCCCTCTTTTTGTTACCCTCACAATCCTCCCTGCCGTGCTTTTTTATCTTTTTTAACAAGGTCTCCGACACATCGCGAAGCACATTGAGAGGGAAACTGGCGTTTCTGTGTTTTTCAAAAATAAAGTTCCGTTGAAAGTGCGCCTCGTCCTGTCTGCATCTCTCCTTGTGTCCTCGTTACTTGGCGCCTCACTTCAAGGATTAACACATTTGGCACGCCTTGCGAAATTTGAAATCAAAACGTACATAACTGAAAGTGGACACGCGAACATAGTTCCGCGAGAAGTTTCAATATATATATATATATATATATATATATATATATATATATATATATATATATATATATATATATATATATATATATATTATATATATATATATATATATATATATATATATATATATACAGCTACAGCAAAATATTAAGATATAGCAAAAACGGCGATCGTACATTTTCCTATGCCATGTACTGGATGTTGGTCGTCTTCACAGTGATTTGTGGGCTTGCTTTTCAAGTGGGCATTGTTTATATATTTCGTTAAAAGTATTAATTATCGCGATTATCTTGCTCATCGCCAGCCTTTGCTATTGAGTTTCGGCGTTTTTGCGTTCAGCCAGCTACCCGGGAGTGAGCTCAGAAGCCAGTGTGCAGACGACAAACGGGCTGGTACAGGACACAGGAAATGCACGGTCTCCGATTCGGCTATATTTTTAATACTTCACTAGCTGGAAATTGAGCTCCAAACAAACAGATTGGACATAAATCTTCTTGGGAAACTACGTCCGCGCGCCAAATTCAGATATGTACGTTTGAAAATCGAATTTCGCAAGGCGTTGGTCCTCGCGGACGCTGCCTGTATATTAAAAAATGTATTTTGTAAATTATATTTTATGATATATACGGCGGCGACATACCCATTTCATGATTTTATGCGCTGCAATTAATTCCCTAGTTGAAGAGCAAACTACGATTAAGCTTTTAATACTTCTAATCATGGGTATTTTAGGTGACCTACCGTACTTCCTGACTACTTTTCGATTAAGGCAAAATATATACGACTTAGGTAAACAAAGGGATGCTCAGTCGTAGAAACACGACGTTCTGTATGTTATGCTAGATTTTATTTTACTGTTGCGTCAAAATAAGTATCGCAATTTCTTATTTTTTGTACCTAAAAATAAAAGTGGATTGTACGAACGATAAACAACTATACAGTTACTCGTTTCACTGCGGAAAAAGTGCCTATTGCCGAAAAAGCGCGGAAAATAATTTCTCAATTTAGCGTTTCAAACCGGTTCGAACGTGTTTGAACCGTTATTTTTTTCTCTTCGGAGCTGAACCAGAACTTAACCTAAATCCGGGAACCCGAACCCGAACCAAACCTATAAAAATATCGGTTCGGCACTCTGCCTAAAAGTAATAGAGGCCCATGATTTTTTTATGCGTCTACTTACGAGTGTCCCCATTCGTGGGCAAGAATGCTGACCATAATGTATGTATGAGGCTGGTCTTCTGTTTGGGCAACACGGCAATAATGGCACACTCCCCCGATCCTGGCAGAACCTGCGAAAAATGTAGACACAAATTAAAATATGAATATTAAGCGCAGAGATTTCTATAGACCAACAAGCGGCCCAGACGTCACGCAGGGCGGCACTGCGCATGCGCAGACGCTTCAAGTCACGTGAATTCGGTTTGTGCGCACGCGCAGTGCCCACACCTGGTGTGGGCAAATTCGGGCTTGTTTGTAAACAGCGCGCCGGTCTATACCTTATCGATTTATTAACATGTATACCTGATGCGGCGTTATTAATTCAAATGGGGTATATGAGGGCAAAAATAAATACACACGCAAAATCAATCCAAATGTATGTTTAATTCTACAATGTGACTCTGTAGTACTATATCTCAAAGAAAGATCACAATCGGCAACAGTTATAGTTGTTGAAATACCTGAGCGGTCTTCGTATCATTTTGAACAGTTAGAAAGGAGAGAGATATGGGGGACGAAACAGACGGGACAATATTACAATTTGAACTACATTTGTTTTCAAGCACGGTGTCCGACCGCTCCGTGGAAAGAAGGGAAATGGAAAGAGTTTGGGGAAGGAGGGTGTGGGGAATCGAGAGGATTGCAGGAACCCTGAAAGAAGAAAGGAGAGGGGGGACGGGCGGTAATCCTGAGATTACGGAAAGAACAGGGTCTACGCAGCCGCCCCTGCTTGTCTCCTTGTTATCTCAAAAGGTTAAAACAGCGCAAAAAGGACGGACAGGGTAAAGAAGGACAGGGACAGGGAGTTGTGTATTCACTCCCTCTGTCTTGCGGTAGGCGTTATGTCGGACAGACAGGTCGCTGTCTCAATGACGGGCTAGGGGAACATGCTTAAAACGTCTTTTCGACGGTTTCCGGTCACCTCGGCATACATTGCCGTGACTGCAGATGCCAGCCTCAGTTTCAACAGTGCGAGGTCGTTAAACGTCACAGGGTTCAGCTGGTACGTGAAATTGTGGAGGCTCTAGAAATAGAAAGATTGGGTGCCATGGGGGGGGGGGGGGGGGGGGTGTCAGCAGCCCTTCTGTTGCCTTATCAAGGAAGGAGATTCATTTTCTGGCCACTTGATTAGCTTGGTTGAAGAGCGTGCCCTTTGTTTGTCTTTTTAGAGGTGATACTTAGTTTTTTGTGCTTTTGTTTTGGGTGTTTTTCAGGCTGATTTTCTTCTTTTTGTTCTCATTTGTGCGTATATATTGCACCGTTGGGTCCAGTAAAAATTTAGTTGCGAGTCAGCGCTCTGTCCGTGTTCTCCTTTACCCTGTCCGTCGTTTTTTGCGCTGTTTTAACCTTTGAAGTATGTCATACCAACTCGCCCAGGCTTCAACTTTAGCTTGTTATCTCGCCGTGTTCGTCATCGCTCGACGTCCATCGTCGTCTTCAAGACGGCCTACTCCTTCGGTGACAGCGAGAGGGATTGAGTATTTATGTTCTGCAAGCTTGTCGTGATCCGAAAGGCTTCGATTATTTGTTGCCCGATGCGCTCCGAGAGGCCATCCAGGGTCGTCGTAACGGAAAAATTAGGGGCGCAGCAAGTGCATTTTTTCCGATGAATAAAATCGGGTGTTGGGAATCTGAAGCAGCCTTCTTCGCGTCTATTTGATGCTCTTGGAGCCATTCGTTCAAGGACCGGCTCCGAGTGCATTAAATTCGGCCGGGGGGTTATCATGGCCGTAGAATCATCGATAAGTTTACGGTTTATCCGACCCCAAGATGCAGCAACAAAAGGCAGCGCCCATCACGGTCAAGTTAAAAAGTGGATGAGGAGTAAATGGGAGGAGTGGCGAGGAGAACGTTTGACATGTTTAAAAAATATTTCGCAGGTCGGCCTTTAATGTCCAGCTCCGAGGACCGATATAGTCTGCTCCGCAGGACGGGGGAATTGCGTACACCTTTGTATTACAGGCGGTGAACTTGCCTGCATGTTTTTTGGTGCAGCTAGGAGGTGGGGGTTCCTCCCTGTTCACAGTCTTGCACATGTGGCAGAACCTAGATTTGCACATGAAACCAACTTTTGTGACTAATTTGGAGACAAGTGCTTTGACGTGGTTGGATGTCCTGTGAATGCATGGAATGCGAGGTGGAGTTCTTGTGGCAGGTGATCTGTTGGAGACTGACTTAGGCCGGGGTTCTATTGCCAATATTTGCCTTCAACCAGTGTCTGCGAGGTGGCCAAAATCACTTCGTTAGTGCAGCCTGCCCGCGGCACTAACTAAAATCAATTGTTAGTGCAGCATTTGTTGGTGGGCGCAGGATTGGGTGCACGCTGAGAAGAGCAGGCACAAGACGATATCGTTTTTTTTATGTTTCAAGTGTGCATTTCAAAATAGAATAAACGGCTTTGTCGTTCGTTGTTGTAACGATCAGCATACTCCTTTTTCGGATACTCAGATGTGAACCTCCAGGAACTGCGATTAGCGTTCCGTAGAGTTCTCCCTTTTGAATGGCAGAAGCTCATGCGAGGCCAACAGAGGACGCCAAGCGTCGATGAACACTGCAAGACAAAGAGGTCATAATTGGCGCCTTGTGAATCCCCTTTTTTATTCTGTAATTCCGTAATTCCCCTATACCCCCCCCCCCCCTCGCCCACCTTTCTCTTAGCGGCTTCCTTACAAAGCTCTTGACTCCCCTTTCTCCATCCCTTCCTTCCCCCTAGTGCTTTCCCTTCTCACGGAACGGTCGGGTACCGTGCTTCAAGTAAGAAAATAAATGTAGTGGAATTTTAAAGAATGTCCCGTTGGGTCGTTTTCTTTGTGGTTCCAATTTGTAAATTATTGCTTTAGCCGTAAGTACATTGCGATATGGCATTGTTTGAACCAAAAACGAAAAGTAAAATCAAGCTGTATAAGAACGAAACGTTTTAACTTTTTTTTTTTTTAAATGATCCAAGCTTGGACACATAGTGCGTTGGAAGAATACAGTGACATCTTTTGTCACCTGTATGTCCGTGATATATGATATGAAAATATAAAACCTCTATAACCTTGTCTGTTTCTAAGCAGTATTCCAAGCTCATTTCTGTTTAGTTTTAGTGCGATTTGTATAAGCGATGTAATCGTTTGTCACAAAGCGCTTGAGTTTGAACACGATCTATCTCGATTTCGAGGTTACCTCTGCAATGGGTCACAAATACCACAAACTAATTTTAGAATTGGTCTTAAAAAAGGAACAAAAATGTTTGTTTGTTTTACACTGCGGGATGTATTTGTGTATTTTCTTCGTTTAAAATACTTAATTCTATTGGCCTTGGTCACAAAATTATCAACTTGATGTTTTTATTTTACGAGAAACCAATAATCAACTGTCGGACACTTAACATGTTCTACGGATGGAGATATACTTTTTTCACTTGATAGAAGCGCTTAAGGTCAGGGACAAAGTTAATAAGGAAACGCACCAAGAAACGCACTCGCAAGTGGGCACACAATGACATAAATATCTTAATAAACCACTTCGCTTCCAGCCATTCCACTCTCTCTCTCTATAAAAACCTGAACATTTAACCTTCGCCTTTAATATTGGAACGCGATAGCGTTATTGGAGCCTGCTCTCACTGCCTTCTCATTCGTCGTTCAAGCGTGTCGTGCGTAGCTTGTCTGGCTCGCAACCAAAGGGTCATGGGCAGGGTTGTAAAAGTTACTTCAAAAATGTACCTAAGGTAGAGTTACAGTTACTCATACGAAAATGTACCTAGGTGCGTATCTAGCTACTCTCTTAAAAATGTACCTAGGTACAGGTACAGTTACTTCAAAGATACTTTTTATTTTCACGTCAAGTTTTTTTTTTTTTTCAAATTTGTCACATTATTGTTGGAAGTAAATCCTTTGTATACTGGGATGTACACAAAAACAAGTTTGATAAACATGATGAAATTGATCCCTGGAGAGGGGGAACAAGGGGCACAAAGGACAAACAGAAATCTCCAAACAACAGCTTGCTTGCACCTTTGCATTTAATTGCAGTATAATATAACCTTGATAAACATGCTTTATTGATGTCAATGTTTCTAGGAAGGAAGAGAATATTTTAACGCGAGCGCGTTTAGGAGCTCGTGTCACAGAAAATCCGTCGGGCGTCGGTGGCGTGACGAGAAATTTCTGAATGATCGATAGGGTCGTGACGTCAGAGTCATATGACTACGCGCGGGAATTTCAAACAACCCACAACGCTCATGTGAAACGTGACGTTACGCGTGGAATGAAGGTGGTTAAAGAAACACGAATCAATGGTCGCTGCATGTTTCAAATGATCCCATTTGATAAACTAATTCATTTGCCTTAAAGAAAAATTTCAAGAATTTACGCAGGATCGCACCCACGACCCTTCGGTTGCGAGCCAGACATGCTACCGACTAGGCAACGGAGGGCTTGGGAATGGCACTGCGATCCTGCCGTCATTGGAGTGCGTCGATGTCTGTCTGTGTCAGGGTAAAGGCACTAGCGCATCGAGTGTTGTCTGCGCGTGCCGAGCAAGCACATAAATAAACCTTGCGGGGTAAAATGACATCAAAGCACTGGCAAAAGCTCCTCGATCGCGCCGGGAGTGTTGTATTATAAGAACTAGGTCGTTGTGTGACTCAAGAGCATGAGAAACGATTGAGAAGGCCATGCGTTCAACTCTTAAAGGCGAAGATTAATCGTCCTCCCAGTTTTTTTCTTCACAAACATTTTCTGTTTTGTAAAGTACAAAATTTGAGTTCGATTTATTGCATGAAAACACTACGTGATGTTAAATTGCTTTAGGACTGTAATTATAGTTTATTTTCAGTTTTATGTTATATTGTATTTTCTACGCTTTTGACGAAGTGAATAGAAAAGTACCTATAAAAAGTAACTTCACTTAGTTACAAGTTACTGGAAAATGTACCTAAGATACATATACAGATACTGAAAAATGAAAGTACCTAGGTTTGTACCTCAGGTACAACAAAAGTACCTAGATACCGATTTACAGTTACTTGTACCTAGGTACTTTACAACCCTGGTCGTGGGTTTGAATCACGCCTTCGCATTGTTTGTCTAATGAAAATGAATTACTTTGTAAAAAGAAATCAATTGAGGTAGATGGCGATGTTTAATACGCACTGCAAGTGATGTTTTTATCACTTCCATTCCAAGCGTTACGTCGGATTTTACGCTAGCGTTGTGTGTTGTTCGAAATTCCCGCGCGAGGCCATGTAATTGTGACTTCATGACCCTATCGACCAATGAGGTTCTTCCTGTCGCGCCATCAACGCTGGCTTTTCTGCGATACGATATTCTTTAACGCTCTCACGTTAAAATAACCTTTCCTAATCTGACAGGGCGGCAGACCGGCGCACACTATTTTGATGACACCCGATTTTGTGAATTTCTTCAGTTGCTCCTCTGCTGCGCCATCTCAAGATGGTTTTATTTGACGACGAAAGCGGGCGCGGGCTTTGATCGCCATGCCCAGCCAAAAGCACACAGGGCGTCTGCCTGATATCGGCTGCGTATTTTCTAGCACGGTAATCTATTTTGGCGGTATTTAGTATCACACGGCTTGTGTAATAACGCACGTATTTAGGGTTCTTTATATTTACATCTATTTTTATCAATGACACGAGTATTTTAGGACCTATATGACAGATGAGTATGTTGAAAAAACTCAATAAAACCGGACACGTTTTTTTTTTAATATGAGAATAATAAAGAAAATGCAGCAAAATATTCACAAGTTCGTACGTACCAATGACACGGTTGGAAAAAATACCATCTTCAATTTTTGCGAGGTCACCTCTGAAAAAAAAAAAACATAAGACGGCAATAGAAATGCAGTTTAGTTTTATAGAATAACATTTAAATCTCACGCTCAACTTTACCCTTTTCTAGATAAAACGCAGGAACGGTTTTAATGCTCTTCCTACACTCACTGACAGCCTGTAAAACTCAGAGCTTGGCGAGTTCTATGAATGTGACTGTCCCTTCGCGGCTATTGAGACTGCTGAATGAACCAATAAGGAACCCGAAGAACAAAACTCTAAGCATCAGGCGTGAACCAAACGAGCCATATACTGTCTTCTTCAATTGTCAGGGACAACAAAAACAGAGATAAGCAGCATGCATATTGTAGATATAAAGAAAACGAAAGATGAACAAATAATGACGAAAAGAATCCCTGGAGAAGTTGGAACAAGAGGGACAAAGGACAAACACAAAACTCCAAGCAAAGCTAGGTGACTGGTTCGCGACGAGTCACCTAGCTTTGGTCCGGGTGTCGAACCCGGGACCTCTTCATTCCCAGTAGAGCGCCCTACCAACTGAGCTAACCAGAGGTTAGACGTCAGGAGAGAACGTGTCTTATCAGCTGCCATCAGTCTAACACCAACAAAGGTGAAGCTTGCAATTTAGGGTTATGATTATAATGCAATTAATTGCGAAGGTGGAAGCGAGCTGGACAGAAATGACAAAAATAATCCCTGGAGAAGGGGAACAAGAGGGACAGAGGGCAAGCACAAATCTCTAAACAGACATTACAAATTTATTAGGTACTTCGTACAAAACACACCCTGCGCGTGGAAGACGAGGGAACTTTTTTGTATATCTTTATATTTTTTTTCTAATCTCGTTGAACTCGTCTACTTCCGACAAAATGGCAAGTACACCGATTCGAGAAAGCCTCTTGGGACCGGTAACTTTGCTGGTTTGGTGTTTTTGAGCACAATTACGCATCAATAAACGTCAATACAGCTAAGCCAATGTAACGAGTTTTCTGGGCCAATCAGGGAGTGATAAAAGAGCGAGGTCGTGGCGTTGAACTATTTTTAACGCTGTAGCGTTGAGGAGCTCGTTTCTCAGAAAAGCCGGCGTTGGGTTACCTGACTGGAAAATCCTGATTGGTGGATAGGGTCATGACGTAAGAGCCACATGACCTCGAGCAAGAATTTCAAATAACCCCGAAAGCTCAAGTGAAACGTGATGTCACGCTTCCAATAAAACCGATTACAACATAGCATGGGACGGGAATTAAAGGTTGCCGCATGTCTAAAGAGATGTTCATTGTAAATGTAATTCATTTGCCTCGAGGAAACAAAAATGAGAGCATTTTAAGCGGGATTGAAACTCACGATTATCCGATTGCAAGTAAGACACGCTACTGATTAGGCCACGCAAGGTACGCTTGCTAGGCTTGTGAACGAGCCGGAAATTCTATATGCCTGACAGCTTAGCCGACGCGAGGCTACAGCAGCCTTTCGGATATGCGATATATTCTCTGGATATCGGAGCGAATTCGCGTTTCCTAGCTGGACAAGCGAATTCGAAGGCGGTGCGAGCGCGGCCCGATGAGGCGTGTCACTCGTAAGGGCGAAGCTTAAGCGTCCTCCAAGTGTTGGGCTTGAGCTGTGATCGGCTGAACTAATCAACTGCGGTGAACGCACCACGACCTTGAGGTTTCAATATATGTGTTCTTATTTGTGTGTATTAAGCGCGCTCTGATCTGGGATGAAAAGAAGTCTAAGACATTACACGGTAATATGAGACAGCAAAGAAATTGTATTAATGTGTCGAATTTATTTGTACGTCTGATTCGAAATAAGAGCGACAAGAAATCATTTGCTGAACGTCGCATTTGGATTGTCATTGACTATTTCCCGGCTGACGGAGGTGGTAGACTAGAACACAAGCATGCTAAACTGTGGTCTCCATCAATGTCTGAATTCGCAGATGCGTCCGCGCATGCTCATATACGTGATCTGCACATATATCCGCCTCATAAAGGCGGATATGATGTGTGCAGAATGTGTGTTTGGAAATTATGGCCCAATGTATGGGTCGCCAACTCTAGCTCGACTATTTTGTCTCAGGCAACAAGAAGGCTTTCTTGGGAAGTATAACTCACTGCGCAAAGCAAACAAGGAGATTTTAATATAGCCTAAAACTACCGCTAAAATTCCTTCCTAACCGTACAGACTGCTTTTAATGATTTATGGTTTTTGGCTAATCACTTTACATTACTGGTTTATTATCGCTAAAGCGTCTGGTAAAGTGTGGAGTCTTCGAAGGACTATGTGGCATTGTACCCCGGAAACTAAGCTTTTTGCGTAAACTACTTTGATTCGTCCATTACTAGAACACGCGGACATTCTATGGTACCCGTATACACAGTCATTGATTGACAAATTTGAGAGAGTGCAAGAAAAGGCAGTGCGATTTACATATAATGCATAAGAATGCATACGTCTGTCATCCCTTTATGCGTTATCCGGATTAGTCCAGTTATCGGCCCGCAGAAAAGTAAAGCGTCTGAATTTCTTTTTATAAATTAATACACGATAAGATTGGAATGAAGTTCAAATACTATCTGGTGTACAATATCAGTCGAGTCACGCGGCAGAAGCACAAAAATCTTCGAGAGTTTCAATGTAGAAAATACATTTTTAACTACTCTTTTTTTCCGAGAACTGTCCGAAACTGGAATGACCTGACTCACAACATTACAGGCAGTGCCACCTTCGACACGGTTGTGAGTGCCTTAGATGGAGTTTTGAATCCATTTGATTCAAATGGATTCAAAACTAAGCGTTACCTCTGTTTATTGCTAAGCGTTACCTCTGTTTATTGGAAAGCGTTTGTACTATATGCCTTTTATTTTTTTTTCAACTATGTTTTTTGAAGCCATGTATAACTAGAGCCATGCTGTTGTAGATGTCACATATGTACTCACATGCCCTGGCCCACAAAAGTAGGCCGACAATATTATTCAAATGAAAAATAAATTAAAAAATAAATAAATAAAAAAATGGTGGGTAGAACTTCATTGTGCTTACGATGTAACCAAGGTGACGAGGTCTGCGGTAACCTCGATCCTCCCCGAGTTGACTGCGTCCTTCAAATTCTTAAGCGTTCTTTTTAACCAGACATATCTTTTAGTGTAACCTCGCGGCTTCAACTTATCTTGAGCTACTACTTCTCTTGTAATGGTGTTCATCTAGACCAAAGAAAAAAAAGGGTGTTAAATAACACGAGCCTTATTAACGCATATCAAACAGTGTTTGCTGCAGAGAAGCCCATATGAACAACATACCTCTGTCAACTCAAGAACAGCAACCAGAACAAATTGAACTCTTGGATGCGAAGTGACGTCAAATCGCATGTTGACCTTGAAAAAAAGTGTGGTAAATATTTGAGCGTGTTTTCTATCAGCGTATTTCCAAAACGCAAATAAGCGACACCACCCAGCGGAAGAGACGCGAACGAGAGAAGCGAGGAGCAACTACCTAGGAATGTGTGCAGCAAAAGCTGCCGGGGCCTGGCGGCAGCATTGCGAAAAACAAATAGAGGGATTAAGCGCAGGTTTTTTGAGTTGCGAATCAAACTGTCCACCTCAAATTTATTGGAGCACCACAAAACGTATATGTTGTTGAGTTTATAGAAGACGAAGTAAACAGACAGGAAACGAGGTTTTAGTCAAACACACTTAAAACGCCGAAATGACGGCAAAAAAAAAAGGATATGGCATCAACACGGTTTTGCATGTTTCTATTTGTTTTAATTTCTGGTGTTCAGTTTAAAATGTCTGTGTCCACATTATTACAATATTTTGTTACGCATTGCCAAACGAAGAGGAAGCGCTCAAAATGCTATTTGCATAAAAATATTCATCCACGGTTTTCTCTAAACTGACAAGATGAGGACTGTAGGAAGCCTCGTTCCAGTGTCCGGACTCCACCTCTTGACCGTTGCCCTCCGCCGAGTTTTTGAATGGGCGTGCACCCTGGAAGCTCACAAGATATAGAAGCCTTAAGAAAAGCAAAACATTTTCGCTTGAAGTGCGACAATTTAAGAACCGCCTACCGTTCTCATCATGTTTTTGAATGGGTATATCACTGTCTTCTTTAGGTATTTAAAGTGCCTTTAATGATAATACAGCCTGTTAATGTAATTGGTTCTGAATCATCTTCTAAACAATAGTCACTGACGGCTTATGAGACGCAGATTCCCGTCTATTATAATCATGCACCTTGATTAATGGCTCCTTTTTCGCAGTTCTTATTGTTTGATGCCACCATTTTATTGACCGCGGAGCGGTTAAAAGATGTTTCGGTTTCACATTTGAATAGTATATTTCTTCGTCATGACCAGCACACAGCAAGTTTAAATACGTATGACAACTCTACAGTTGCTAATAACTCTCTAATAATATTTCTGGAATATGGAAAAAAATAACATTCAGAAACAGCTTAAGCGGCTTGTTTTCGCACGTCATGAATAGACAAGACTGTGACACACAGAAAACTAAATCAAACTTGCAGGATACAATTCACCAAGGTAAGGCGTCATACCAGTTGAACAGTGACTCCAGCGTATCGCAAGAGGCTTCTTGTAGTCTTGAACTGCTTTCTGTGGTGGTGATCGAACACCATTGCCACCTCGACAAGAAAAACGCTCGGTATTTGTGCGGCTGGTCGGGTAGCTGAAAAATCAATTTCATCAAAAATATGCTTTCAAATGTTGAAATCGAAGTATATAAAACGTTCTGTACCTTTCATGAATTTGCATGTAATAGTGGCATTGATAAGTAAGATTATGCCACAAATAAATGACACACACATGATACGATGCGAGCCCTAACTAACTCGCAACGAACACGTGTCTTTGAGAATGTCTCGCAATTAGGGAGGTTTCACCTTCTCTAACAAGCAAACTGCCTGGCTTCTTTTCACACATCTTCAAAGCCGTTTGTTTCTCAAGTGAACTATTCATATAAATAAAACAACTGCATGACACCAACCTCTCAGTGGGTAAAGGACACTCTCTCGATATATTTAAAGAGAAAAAAAAAACAGTCTTCTTTCCAACAGAACTGCATCTTTGTCTTGCTCGCTTAGGAAGTAATTTTTTGCACCTCGCGTTGTAAATACTTTCTAGTAATAGCAATCTTTTTATGTCTTCCTTTTTTTATTTATATAGTTTGATGACCTTTATTTTACTTATGCAGAGAGTCATGTCAAATAGCAGTTTTCGCTCTATTAGGATTTTTGGCGAATGATAAAACGTGCGTCACCAGTGGAAAGAACGCGAGAAGGAAACGTGTTTAAATTCTTTTGTTGCGCAATGAAAAGTAATTTTGAGCACTGTCCGCAAAATCAGCTGATATAGGGCATTTACTTACAGGACGACGTTCTCTACTCGACAATAAACTGTGTAAGTACAACCAGAAGCACTGATACCATGCTGGTGATAAAGCAGTCACATCATTTAATATTTTTGTCATATACGCTAATTCAAAATCCCTCCACATTATAGAATCATCTCATGTGATCCTCGTCACAGTTGGTGTATTAAACTTTCCTATATATTGCCACGTGTGACCAAGTGGTTACCACGCGTGACTGTCGCTCGGAAAGCTTAGGTTCGGTTCCAGTCAGTGGGATGTTCTTTTATTTATTATTTCAACATTGCATTCTCGTGAGTTCGAGATCATTCTCGTCTGATCGAGTTCCGAATGTTCTAGTCGTCGAACGTTCTAGGTCGATTTTCCCAGAAGCCAACGTGCGTACATAAGGGGCTCCGCGTGGCGACCTGCGGTCAGTCTCGCCCCAGCGTTGGACTCTGATCTTACCCCGACTTCGACGCAGGCGACGCTTGCTATTGTCTTTTGTTTCCTTTTTATTTTTGGACACAAGTTCGCTCCATTAAACGTTTCAGTTTCCTCAGGTTTTTTTTGTTTCACCTTGTCATTCGTGACATTTTGGTGGAGGTGCGGGGTACCGCATGTCCGTGCAGCGATCCCCTCCAAGGGCCCACAGTGAAAGTCTGATTCCAGGCTCAGTGCGAGGACCGCTCAACGCGGATCCTGAAACTCGAACCAGCCGCTGCACCAAGGAAAAGGATCCTGAGAACGGTTTGCTGCTGGACAAGCCCGAGCCGAAGAAGACGACGATGGCCAACTAGCCGCAGACCCCCGCCGCTTCTGCCGTCGCCTACCTACCCGTCGCTACTCGGACACCAACTCCCTTCCACGGCGAAAGCCACGGAGACATTGACAACTGGGTTCAACATTACGAACGAGTGGCCCGTCATAACGGGTGGACACCTGAACAGTGTATTCAGTATGCCTACTTTGCCTCGGAAGCAACCGCCCGGCACTGGTTCGAGAAGCACGAAGCATCGATCACCTCCTGGAAGCAATTCAAGGCTGAGTTGCGAAGAACATTCACGAACCAACAACGAAGAGGACGCGCGAAAGAGCTTCTTCAAGCGAAGATCTAAGGCACTAACGAGGACGTCGTTAGCTTCGTGGAAGATATCCTGCGACTCAGCAACCACGCCGATCCTCAAGGCAGCGAAGCAAAGAAGCTGAGAATCCTGATGCGAGGCGTCAAGGAAAACATCTTCGGCGGCCTTGTGCGAGCCCCGCCTATCACAGTCAAAGGATTCGTAACAAAGGCAACAAACATCGAACGTGCCCTACAAGCACGGGCCTCCCAATAGCAGAGACTTCCCGGCGTCGCTGCCTTCTCGACTTATAGCTGCAACAGCCCGGACCTCCGCGAGATTATTCGGGACGTCGTGCGGGAGGAAATAAGAAGCTGCTACCTGCTGCCACAAGCCCGGCTTCGCCCTCAGTCGCCAAGATTGTCCGGGAAGAAGTTCAACAGGCGCTGCATCCAGAAGTTCTTGTCAGCGTCACTAGTGAACCACCGAAGCTGGGCTACGCCGCAGCTACCCGACGACCACCGCCCCTGCTCACCCGTATACGGCGCCACCCCGACGTGAACGTCCAGCTCCGCAGTATTCCCGACGCCAGGAAGATCGGGCGTACGTCCGCCCAAAACAAGCTGCGCCACAAAAGACCGACATGTGGAGGACGGCCGATCGACCCCCGTTGTGATTTCATTGCGGTGAAACCGGCCACATTTACCGTCGAAGCCACCAATGACAATTGGGTGTGCGCGGGTTGCACCCGAATGACCCGCGCCCAAGGTGCGACGAACGCCTTCGTGACACTGAGGAGTACCTCCGACGTTCGCCATCTTCAACGCCGGTTCTCCGTCGTTAGTCCCGCTCACCATCGCCCACACGTTCAGCGTCTCCAGCGCCACCACCCCACCGAGAGAGCCTGTCTCCTTTGCGTCTCCATGAACACTAAGTGCGGCAACGCCTGGAGGTGGCGTTTCCGTAGACTACCGAAGTAGAGAGCCTCCATGAACGAAAGAGCGCTTCCACTCTCCCGACGCTGCGCACAACAACGATGCCACTGCATCGCTGTCCAACAACCTAAAAGTTATTATCAACGGCCACGACGCATCGGCGCTCGTGGACACCGGAGCAGACTAATCTGTCTTGAGTGGGAGGCTTTTTCGCCGCCTACGAAAAGTGACGACGCCGTGGGAAGGCCCTCAGATACGAACCGCCGGTGGGCACCTTATTATACCAGTCGGGAGAAGCACTTCCCGCGTCGAGATTCACGACGTTCGTCATTCTGCAAGGCTGTGTGAGGGATATTATCCTCGATATAGACTTTCTCTGCGAGAATGGCGTCGTCCTCGACCTCGGAGAAAACCGGTTGATGTTACGAAAACCTGTTTTACCACCAGAGGAACCCGAAGCGACATCATCCGCCGTCCATTCCTCTGAAGCCACGTGAACTTACCGCCGCGGTCGAGTGTTTTCGTGCCCGTCGGGGTCACCGAAGCTCTCGGCGGCCAAGTTCTGTTCGAGGAAAGCCTCCAGTTCCGTCTAGGAAGAGGAACAGGCGTCTCAAGAGGAGTAGCTGAACTCCAGGATGGCCGTACTGTGGTCCTCGTGATGAAGTTCCGAAATGAAACGCAAAACCTTACTAAAAGTGCGGCCATTGGCTACGTCGAGGAGCTCTGAAACTCTGCCGAAATCGTCGCCATTACTGTCGCATCCTCGCCACCTCAGCAAGGCAGTACGTCGCCAGCGCAGCTCGACATGGACCCTAAGCTTCCGGGCCCGAAACGTCGGCAGTTAATTGACCTCCTTGCCGAATAACGCGACTGCTCTGCGACGTCGGCAAAGGTGCGCAAACCGCCGTTGCGAAGCACCGCATCGTTACCGAGGGAAACGCGCGCCCTATGCGCCGATCGCTGCACAGAGTTTCCGTTAAAGAAAGGTAGGTGATCCAGGAGCAAGTTTAAGATATGCTGAAAAACGACACAATCCACCTGCAAGCAAACCATGGGACTCTCCAGCCGTACTGGTTGAGAAGAAGGACGGAACGCTTAGGTTTTGCGTGGACTACCGGCAGCTGAACGCGGTGACAAAAAAAGACGTCTATCCACCCCCACGCATCAATGATGCTTTAGGCCGCCAGCGACGAATGGGATCGAGAGAAGACAGCTTTCGTCACACCGGATGGACTATACGCGTTCAAGGTGATGCCCCTCGGACTGTGCACGGCGCCAGCAACTTTCCAGCGTGTCATCGACACCGTACTGGCGGGACTGAAGTAGCAGAGCTGTCGTCTACCTCGACGGCCTTGTTGTGCTTTCCAGCGACTTTGACGAGCACTTGCGACGGCTCCGAGCTGTTCTCTAAGTCATACGGGCCGCCGGACTCACCCTGAAGCCGTAAAAGTGTCGGTTCGACTATGACGAACTGAAGTTCCTAGGTCATGTGGTTAGCAACGAAGGCGTTCGCCCCGAGCCAGAGAAGACTCGCGCCGTCGCAGCATTTCCAGCGCCGACAGACAAGAAGGCCGTGCGAAGGTTTCTTGGACTATGTGCCTACTATCGGCGCTTCGTTTGGGATTTCACAGTGATTTCCGCACCGCTCAGAAACATTACATAGGGCGCCGAGAAGTTCGAATGGGCCGAGGAGGAGCAGCAGGCATTCGACGAGCTGAAGCGACGACTGCAGAGTCCTCCTGTTCTTGGACATTCCGATCAAGATGCGGAAACCGAAAATCACATGAATGCAAGTAACGCTGTACGGCGCGGTACTGGTTGAAGTTCAAGAGGACACTGAATGAGTTATCGGCTACGCAAGTCGAGCACTGTCCAAGGCGGAGAATATTTACTCCACGACTGAGAAAAATGCCTTGCGGTCGTTGGGGCAATCACGAACTTTCGTCCGTACTTGTACGGGAGCCCGTTCCGTGTAGTCACGGGCCACCACTTGCTCTGCTGGCTTGCGAACCTGAAGGACCCGTCAGGACGCCTCGCTCGATGGAGTCTCCGACTACAAGAGTTCAACACGACTGTGGTCTACAAGTCAGGCCGCAAGCACAGCGACGCCGACTGCCTGTCCAGAGCCCCCGTCGAAACACCTTCCGGCAGCAACGATGACAATGAGGACGAGTGCTTCCTAAGCGCAGACAACACCGGCGACATGGCTCGACGTCAAAGAGACGATCCTGAGTTGCGCGTGCTAATCGAGCACCTCGAAGGGCGAGGTATCACTGTCCCCCGTGTCTTGTCGAGAGCCCTGCCGACCTTCGTCCTCTGACAAGATGTATTTTACAAAGAGGGCTTCGGATACAACAGTACGCCATGGGTGCTGGTAATCCCTACCGACCTTAAAGCGGAGATCTTCCAAGGCTGCCACGACGACCCGACGTCCGGACACCATGGTTACGCCGAAACGAAAGCCCTTCCTGCTGGAACTGCTGTGGAAGTCGCCAAGTTTTTTATCGAGTCTATCGTCCTCCGGCAGGGCGCTTCCGAAGTTCTGATCTCAGACCATAGATCATCGTTCATGGCCCAGCTGACGCAAGAAATCCTTCGTCGGAGCCACACCAGCCATCGGCGCACCACTGCGTACCACCTGCAGTCAAACAGGCTGACGGAGAGACTCAAGAAGAGCATCGCCGACATGATCTCTATGTACGTTCATGTTGCAGGTTCCGAAGAAGAAGAGAGACATAGGGCGAATGGACGAGGGACGAGAAGAAAAGGAGAAAAAGAAGAGGTGGAACGGAACGGCACTGGTGGGGCAGTCGAATCCGGCAGAGTTCGAGGCAGAAGCCTTTTTCATCGCGGAGTCATGGACCCAGAGCTCCACGGCGTACCCGGGCCTTCACCCTCGAGGCAGACCGGCAAAGCAGCGACGGTCGCCACAATCGTGGAGACCAAGCCGGCGGCAGAGTAGAGATCTGTATTTATAAACCTCCTTCTCATGGCAGCGGGTGTCGTCTGGTTTCTCGGTGAGCGAGCGCAGCGGGGTCCGATCGGGCAGGGGCAATAGGACACCCACATTAACTGGAGCCCAACGTGGGGCCCGATCAGATTGCCGCTGCGCCTGTTCATCCCGGGAGGCCACGCACATTGCGCCTCGTTCTCTTTTAGGACGGAAGTTTCCGCCCAAGCCCGTTGAGCGTTAGTTAGGCACTAACGATTTCAAGGTCAGCTCGGAATAAGGGGTTGGCCGACAGCGATGTCCAGGCGGTGTCAGCAGTCGCTGCAAGTGCACAAGAAGGCGCGAATGCACAGGCGGACGGCGCAGTGGCGCCGGGGGCAAGGACTTGGCCCACGGCTGCGGGAGGAGGAGTCAGCGAACCTCTACGTTCCCTAACGGCGATGTTCGAGACGTTTTCACGACAAATGGGGACAGCCCCAACATGGGTCTCAGGAAAACGGGAGAGGCCGCCGCCACTAATTGTACTTCCACTACTCACGGTTGCCGGCCACTGCCGAGGCCCCTCATCAGACTGCGAACGGGGCTGGAGTTGCGGTCAGCGACAGATTGATGTTTATCCCGTCGTCGTGTCGGACTCAGGGTTTGACATCTGAGAAAGGGCCATACGTGCGCGCCGAGATCGGTGGTAACATTTACTACGCACTAATTGACGCCGGTTCGACCCTTTCCCTAATAGGCGACAGAGTCTACGAAGACTGTCGTCGAAGAGCACTTGACGTGCGAGAAGTTCCCACCGCGCTTGGTTTAGCAGCAGCATCGGCTAGGGCACAAAGCGCTCTACGCATTGACCTTAGCCTAGATGGCAGACGAAGGAGGCAGCGTTTTCTCTATCTACCACACATGCAAATTCCTGTGATCTTAGGACAGGACTTCGTCTGCCGGGAGGGGATTATCATAGACTTGAGGAATAACGGGTACCACTATAATCCGTTGACTCCCCTTATCTTTTTTGCCGCCCCACCGCGTTTCGGTCAGGGCATAGAACGCTCACTCGCCGGATCTTAATAGGAGCAAACATTAGCTTCGCGAGTAGACCGCAAGGGCTTGACCAACATGGTTGCCGACACACTTTCTCGGGCACTGGTGATAGTGGTTGGAAGGAGAGGACGCAACCAGGGGATTGCGAGAGACGAGTTTCCCGCGCGACCGCTCATAAGCGAGAGAGTGGAGGGAAATCTATGCAACCAGATGTCGTAGAAGTCTAAGGAGGCCGCACGAGGGAACAAAAGATCGTGGCTTGGAGTGAAGTGTTGAGCAAGGAAGAACTTGTCAAGGCCCTAAAGGCAGACGGTTTTTGTCAGCGGATGTTGGGGAAAATAGTGGAAATGGAAAGCAACACCGGGAACGCTGGCGGTCAAGTTAACGAGCACATTCATTGATACCTGCTGGGCCAAGACGGCTTGTTCCTCCGCTACATCCCAACAATCGATGACAAGGAAGGAAACGACTATACGTTTAGGGTGGTGATTCCTAGGAGTCTACGGAGGCGGTTTATCGGTTACTTCCACGATTCGGCTATAGCTTGTCATGGCAGCGGCAGCAAGACTTTTCAAAAGTTATGTCACGTAGCGACCTGGCCATAGATGAGGCAGGACACACTCCGGTACGCCCGTACCTACCCAGCCTGCCAAATAACGAAGCCGCGAGGGGGAAAGCCCCCAGGCCTGATGCAGCTTGTAGTGAGTCACTACTCGTGGGAGATGGTTGCTTGCGACATCGTCGGCTCACTACCAAAAAGTCCCTGTGGGAACCAGTACTTATTGGTAATAACCGATTATTTCTCAAAATGGGTGGAGTTACACCCGCTGAGGAGGTTGGTTTTGAAGCGCATCGGGGAAAAGTTGTTGGAAACTTTCATGCGTTTCGGCACACCCACGTGTCTCATCAGCAATAATACTTGTAATTTTACCATCAAATTGTTCACTGACTCCTGCTTGGCGCTAAACACAAAACACAGGAGGACAACACCATGCCATCTTCAGGCAAATATCACTGAAAGAGTGAATCGGAACTTGAAGAGTATGTTGATCGCGCTAAACCGGGAGACAAAGGGACTGGGATCAGTACGTCAGCGAGATGGGTTTCGCCATCCGGATGACTGTGAACAGATGGACTGGGTTCACAATAGCGCTACTTAACTTGGGTAAAGAACTACCGTCTCCGCTAGAGAAAGGATTGCAGAATAACCAAGCACCACTAGAGCGCTCACTCTCTAAATACTCGGTAAAATTAAAGAACCGCTTGGCGAGCGCAATGCACGACGTTAGAGAGAATCTCGATGCTGCAAAGATCGAGCAGGCTGCCCAGTACGATGAGAGTTTTCGTCACCTGGAATACAAGTTGGGGGACCTGGTCCTTAGAGAACACATCCTTTGACCAATGCAGCGAGCGGATTCGCAGCCTCATTTGCTCCGAAGTGGGAAGGGCCCTACGTGGTAAAAGCAAGACAGTCACGTCTTACCTACAGGCTCGCTCGGCAAAATACGAACGAGGAGTCTGACCCGGTTCACATCACAGACCTGAAAAAGTACCATCTTCGTGATCGGGGTGACGATGAGCGAGAACTCGCAAAGGGGGACGAGGAACTCCTTGTCCAGGGCGATTCTGATGCGCAACCCACAACGCGCTCTAAGCGCGGCAGTCAAACGGTGCAAGAACCTGTCGGGAAAGAACTCGACTGTGGATCTGCCCGGCAGTACGATTTACGGCCTAGAAATTTATATTTTCAGGGTTACTAATTGTGTCCCTTCTGCCCAGAATGACACCCCCTGAGAGGTCGACACGGAGACTACCGTCCCGGAGGTGAACCGGGATTGGGCACAAGTCCATCCGGTTTGGGGGACAGCCAAGCTGGGTGGCAAGAGGCTGACCTGCCCAGCCCACAGAGTAATCGACCCTGGGGCCCAGCAGACGGTGGCTCATCGCAGTGGGACGCGAGGAGCCCCACTTCCCCAAACGGCTCAGCTAGCCGATATGGACCAGACCGGTGCAAAAGGCGCGGAGGCCGTCCTTGGAGACGGCCACGCCATCCCCGAGGAGCTGGTTCCCCGGCTCAGACCTCTACTCCGAACGTGCTGAGCCCATCTGCGTCGAGGGAACGACCAGCGTCAGCGCGGAACGGTGTGAACGTATACCCCCGAGAGGAATGCCAAGGCGATGCAGGCCCCACCGTGCCTTCGCCACACCGTGGCAACCTGGACGACGTGCGACGGGCGAGAAGACCGCCATTTCGTTTCAAGACAACGTTGGAGAGACCAACCGAGACCGACCCCGTCCCAACCCCTCCACCAGGCCCCACAGCCCTTCCGGGGACACATATTGCCGGCTTTTTCCTTTTTTGAGGACCAGATGAATCCGTGTTGTTTATGCCAGGTCCCGGTTGTGCACCAAAAACACACGAGGCCGGCCGTCGGCACACAGACATGTTAAAGACAATGGGTCTCAACTTCTGCATAGTGGCAGCGGTACAGTTGCTTCGCAGAAACCGGCCCGACCTCCTGAATCCAGCTGCCCTGGGTCCCGCCCAAAACCGAAACACACCCAAACGAAGCCCTAGTCGAGGAAATGACAATCGGGGAGTCAACCCCAGACCCTTCTACCGCCGAGCAGCCTCCGTTTTTACCAGATCCCGCTCCGCGCACACCAGCTACAACCGAACTGCTTTCACCTCCTGCGAAAGACACCCTAATGGAAGACATCAATGAGTTCCTTGAGAGTGACGCAATACCCCCAGCCTCCAGAACCCAGGACCAGACGCTTGAGGAGGCGATACCCCCGGCCTCCGGTATCCAGGACCAGACGCTCGAGGATTGGAGGATTTAGGGGACGAGGAAGAAGAGAGGAATAGGGCGAGGCGGGAGGGACGAGAAGAAAAGGAGGAAAAGAAGAGGTAAAACGCGGACGGCACTGGCGGGGCTGTCGAATCCGGCAGAGCTCGAGGACAGAAGCCTTTTTCATCGTGGAGTCGCAGACCCAGACCTTCACGGCGTACCCGGGCCCTCCACCATCGAGGCAGGCCGGCAAGCAGCGCGGTTGCCACAACCGGGGAGGCCAAGCCAGCGGCGGAGCAGCGAACTGTATTTATAAAACTCCTCCTTATGGCAGGGGGTGTCGTCTGGTTTCTCGGTGAGTGAGCGCAGCGCGGTCAGATCGGGCAGTGGCAATAGGACACCTACAACGTGGAGCACAAGGCATGGAACGAGGTGTTGCAGTACGTGATATTTGCCTACAACACGGCCGTACAAGAGACCACCGGGGTGACATCGTTTCAACTGGTTCATGGTCGCGAAGTAATGACAATGCGGACGCGGGGTTACCCCACGAACCGTTTCTCGACGGAAGCGACGACGCTCAGGTGGTTGCCCAACGGGCAGAAGAAGTCCGCCAGCTCGCCAGACACCGTATGCAAGCCCAACAACGTGTTAACACTGGCCGCTAAAAACTTCGTCGTCGGGAGGTCCACTTCCAGCCCGGAGACAGGGTGTAGGTGTGGACACCGATCCGCCGCCGTGGTCTAAGCGAAAAACTCCTAAAGCGCTACTTTGTACCCTACAAAGTACTTCGTCGACTCGGGGATCTGAACTACGAGTTGATGTTCGACGGAACACGGACTTCATCACGCCGCTCTGCATTACAGGAAATCGTCCACGTGGTGCGCCTCAAGCCGTACTACGCACGCTAAGACTGCGAACTGGGATGTTGTGCAACGCTTGATAGAATTGTGTTTTGCCAGCCTTTGTATTCTTCCATTATTTTGTTTGCCTTGCTTTGTTTTGTTGCGTTTCACGTTGCATTGGGACGATGACTTTTTAAAGGGGGGAGTAATGCCACGCGCGTCGGCGAGCGACCGCGCGTGGCCGAGTGGTTATCGCGCGTGACTGTCGCTCGTAATGTCTAGGTTCGATTCCAGTGAGTGAAATGTTCTTTTATTTGTTCTTTCAACATTGCGTTCTCGTGAGTTGAAGATCATTCTCGTCTGACCGAGTTCCGAATATTCTAGTCGTCGAACGTTCTAGGCCGATTGTTCCAGAAGCCAACCCGTGTACATAAGGCTCTGCGTGGCGATCTGCGGTCAGTCTCGCCCCAGCGTTCGACTGTGCTCCGACGCCGACTTGGACGCCCGCGACGCCCTGCTGTTATCCTCTGTTTCCTTTTCATTTTTGGGCACAAGTTCGCCCCATTAAACGTTTCAGTTTCCCCAGTTATTTTTGTTTTACCTTCTCATTCGTGACAGTATAAGACTTTCGAATTGTTTGTCGCTAAAAGGCGACTCTACTTACGTCGTCTTTCAGGGCATTCCTGCTCTGCTGAAGCTGAAAAACAAAAGAATTTAATGTGTACTAATTTTTAGATAACGCTAAGAGCTTGGGTAATGAATAAATAAATAACAAAAAATTGCCGAGTTTTTTGTTTTGACGTTTGTTTTTACTCAAAGAATAATTATTCGGTTTGTAGCAATGTTCGAGACTTTAATTACTCCTTGGCAACTTAAAAAAACTTGAAGGTTGATCGAGACGTTTCTATAAAAAGAGGCCTAAGATTGCTGATGGAAGTCGATCGCAACATCATTACTTTTGCTTAGTTTACAGTACCTTTTTAGGTGCAGGTACAACTTCACCAACAAAACATTTATTTTAAGACAACTACTGAATTAGAGGTGATAGCATTGTCAAATATGGTTATACGTAACGTAATATGCATAAACGAAAACTGGTGTAAATGCGAAAAAAAGGTTGGTGAACCTATTTTGTTGACAAATGTCGCAATTATGCTTTATAAAGTCGTGTATAAACATACATTGGTTAGCGTGCTTTATCATCTCGGTACTTTATTAATTATGACATACGGCTATAACAAAACATTTCCCGCCATATTTATCTATTTTTAGAAAATCACGCTATAAGCCACTTTTATCAGGCTTTAAAACCATTTATAAATCAATATGTAAGTATATTAGAAGTGTGGGCGCTTCAACTAACTAGATAAAACAGGTCGAATTCTCATTGAAACATTCTGCCTTATTTCAACTCGAGTCAGATTTTTCTAGCTTAGGCAGGTGATAAGAGTGGAAGGATCCAAGCCTTTTCGTATAAAAAGTTTTACGCTGTGTCTCACCTGTGTAATCGATTCTGTGCCCCTCCGGCTCCTCGATTTCAAAGACTTTGTGTGCTCCGTATCGACCTTCATGGTGTCCCATCAGGGGCAGAGGAGCAATCCTCAATGTGGGGCCCAAGGCCCCGCTCTGTGCGTAACATGATTGCGGCTTAGGAAACTTGCTTCTTGGAATAACAATTCATGATATTTTTTTATTGAATAATGTTGTAGGCCTCGTTAGCACCCAGAAACGTGCGCACCGAATAACATGTTTCAGGACGCAATAAAAAGTGACATTGCTCAGGATCTGTTCTATATCCTTTCCGGAATTCAGTCTGGCCACTTTGATCACTATCATCATCATCTGAAAACGGCATATGTGCTATACTAATGGCGGCCTTCTGTTTACAGTTGAAGGAAGAAGTTGAAGATGCTCCTAAGCAGATGATTCGATGCCTTTACATTCTCGACGTTAGCACGACGTGAAGCAGGAATTGGACGCAGGAGCTGCGTAAGCGTTCATTCCTAACTCATTCCCAGTCAATCTGTTAGTAGCACTCACTCGGCTTCAAAGCACCTTGATGTATAGGACTCTATCAAGGCGGCTATATGGGTTGGCTCTTCGTTCCGACTGGCTGCATTTGTTTTGCCATCAATACTAAAAGAGATTGAAAAACAATTGTAGTGAAGTGCACATTTTCGTTTACCGTTGACCTTTAAGTGACGGTGCCCCATTAAATACAGCAGACCACAGGTTCATTGCCGCCATTAGTATAGTAAAAGATAAACTGCCATTTGGGACACCAGATGGCACTGAATTCCAGAAAGGGCCTATTGAAGCCTGAAAGGAACAGAACTTCAAAATAAAACACCAGCCATCAGCGAAACAATAAGACAATAAACAGGAGCGGCAAAGAGTGCAGGTACATTCAGCTCAAAAACAAAAGCCTTGATGTGCAATTGGTGTCTTTTGGAGCAGCGTTTTTGTTATCTATTTGTTCTTTGAAATTACGACATCGTAACTATACATTTGTAACTCCGGTTTGTTTTTGGTCGCCCGCCGAAATTAAATTCCGTAATCCGGCGTTATATAAGTATTAACTATAATCGGTGACAGGTCAAGAACGAAGTGGAAGCTCCGCCTAACTCTTTCCAATTCAGCAGAGAGAACGCTGGAGAGGAGGTCGCTTCCTCTGCATCATTGCTCCGCTAATGTTGAAAGAGGTGGGAGGAGCTTTCCTCTTCGTTCTTGACCTGTCTCCGACTACAGGTTGAATTCTCAATTTTGAAAAGTCCGCAATGACTCAATTGATGGATCAGTCATACACAAAACATGTAAAACTACACAAAATTCAACTACACATCGCGTTAAAAAACCTAGATATTGCAAAGCTTTTTTTTTTACTCGAGCTAAAAAAAGTATTATAAGCCAGCTAATGCGTATTAATGACGCAATATAAAAATGGTACAGACTCCAGACATCAAAATGCTTGCTCGTAAATTGATCACGGTCTTTTACTTTTTCTCGAGCTAAAAAGAAAAAAAAAAATACGTTAGAGAAGTGCTTTTGATCCCGAAGGAAAAATCCATCAATGTAACCCTGTTTGGCAGTCAATGTTTTCTAGTGGACCGCTGACTGTGCCTGACTGTACGTCAAGCATGTCTGATTGGCCAACAAGCTACTCTGACCGACAGTCAAACTCCAGTCAGACTCCGCTTGTCGGCTTTCTGATGGTTTCCTGGTGGCAGTCGGCCGCCGCGAAATGCCATCAGGATGTCTTGGTGGCGATTCTGATTGTACATCGATTTTCTCTGACTGTACTTCAAAAAGCTTTGACGTGCAGACAGACATACGGTCAAAGGACGTAAAGTTCGTTCGTAACCTATGAATACGAAAAGTAATCAATGGACGAGAAAACGATTTCGGGACGTGAGCCCATAAAACCGCTGACGTTAGAGATATGACACGCAACCGACCGACAACCTTGATCAGAAGCCCGCCGAAGCGCCGAACACGACACTTCGCTTCGCCCATAGAGACTTCGCCAAGCTTTCATGAACGATCGCTCTCCACTCGTTTTGTTTGCCCGCTTGCTCCAACCTGTTGATCCTGCCCGGGCTCTACAATGTCTTATGTTTTAGTAAAATTTCTAGACCCAGCCTGTTGTGAGTTCCGACGATATAAGGGACTTTAGCGGTGTAGTTGAAGACGACAAGGTGTACCAGGTCCACTGGGCCGGAGACGCGCGAACAAAAGGATCGTTCTACGACGCGAAAGTACTCTACATTGCAGGTGAGTAGAACTGAAGTACGGCCAGTGATGTACGAGTACTTTGCATAACCTGCTGACGGCTTAACTGCATTTGCAGCCGAAGCATCTCGTATAAAACAAATAGTCAAATCTAGTTTCCAATGCGGTGGCATAGCATGGGGGTCAAGATGTCCGATCTGTACGCAAGTGGTCGCGGGTTCGATCCGGCGGTGGTCCTGCTTTTTTTTTTTTTTTTTTTTCTCGAACATTTTGTTTTATCGAGGCATTTGGCGATATTTATGAGTGCGTATAGCTTTACTCTTATATAAATGCTGCCCTTGTTGGTGAAATTCCCTTGGCAGTGGCAGTCAGACGTCGTCTGATGGACCATCAGATGACGTCTGATGGTCCATCACGTTCCACCAAGGCTGCTGACTGGCAGTCAATGTCCCAAATTACGTATCTTGATGGAATTTTCAATAGGGATTGCAAACGCAGTTTAGTGAACATTTCTTAGTATGCACTTCCTTTTGTATCCTTTCTATTTTGGATGAACAGACGGATGTAATTTCATGCGATGCGAAGTTATTATATTGTTTAATAGCACGTTTCTGTGGTCCTTGATAGTATTTTCGCAATATTTTTGCGAACTCTACTCACTAGTTTGCTGTACTAGATAGATTACATAGTTACGTTCTTTTCTTCGGCCATGTGGCCCTTAAATAGAATAAAAATATCGCCGTTAAAGGAAAACATCTCACTCTTATTTCTGGTCTAAAATATATGCAAATATATCAAATAGAGCTTTGGAATACTACTTGGACACGAAGAGAGAAAGGACAGGAGAGGACAAGCAGCTTACTACCAACGATGTTTTAGTGTAAACTTCTTCTTTGCGCGTTTGCCTCTTTATTCAGAAACCAAAGTAGAACACGATAAAAGTATTACATAAATAAAACTATTGCACTCGGAAGGATACTACTGATAATTACGCATATACAAAAATTATACAAAAATATTACACAGAAACACTTAAAAATAATTGTTCTTGAACTAATCCACCACGAGCTCCTGCTGTTGTTGTTCGAGGCGTGTCATTTCGTAGGTGTTGTCTTTATTTTAGAGCGCAGCTCTTAGGCTCCCGTTTGCGGCTTGAGCAGCGTCGCCCTTCCCGTAACTGAGCTTTGCTTTATGGGACGTTTCCCATCATGATATCACACATGTCGTCACGTGTGATGTAACGAGGGTCACAAGTGACGTCACGAAAGTCACTTGTGAAGGTGACAACGAAGGTCACGGCCTTCACCGTAAAGGTCACGTCCACGAGACCTTCAGGAGTGACGTCGCGAGGGTCACTACAGTCGCGAGGGGGAGGGAGGGGGTAAATTAGGGCAGCAGGAAGGGGAGGAGAAAGGGAGGAGGGGAAGACGAGAATGAGAGGAGAAAGATGGAGGTAGGGAGAGGGAGGTGGAGCGGGAGGAGGAAAGAAGAAGAGGGTACGATGAAGGTTGAGGTACATACCCTCATTTCCATAACCTCCCCTCTTCTTCCCCAAGAACTGTGCTTTAATTCTGCATTACAGAGAACAGTAAACGGCTTGCTTTTTTTTTTTTGTGAACGATGATATATGGGGTGCTGACGCAATCTTCCGCGTGTTCCTCGATCGCGAGCGCCTCGACCATCTCGCGTGCATTAGGATTGTTACTGTCAGGGATGATTCTGGTGTTAAACGCTGCACTGCAGTGGCATGTGCTGTGATGAGATACCAGTTCTCCGGCCGCTGTTCCCGTAAGAGGCGCTCCATGCTCGCGGCCTCTGTCGTTAAGACATCGGCACGTTTGGCCGATGTAGCGATTCCCGGATGACCGGGGAATGTGATGCACCACCCCTGTTGTGCATGAGATACACTGCGTTCTAAGGGCTGTGTCGCAATGTATTTTCTTTTCTTTTTTAGAGCACAGCTTTTAGGCGCCTGTTCCGGCTAGAGTGGCGTCGCCATCGGCGCAACCGCGCGTCGCATTATGGGACGGTTCCTATAAAGACGCCACATGTGACGTCACGAGAGGTCTCGAGGGAGGAGGAGGAAGCTATTCCGATAAATTGAGTGGAAAAAAATTCTCTGCTAGACTTAGCAAAAAAAAATGGCCCCGCTAAATTTAGAGGAAAAAATTCTCTCCTACGTTTGGTGGAAAGAATTCCCCGCTAGATATAGCGGAACAATTTCCCCGCCAGATTGGGCGAAACGACTTGCCCGCTAAATGTAGCGGAAATATCTTCCTGATAAGTTTAGCGGAAAAATTTCCCCGCTGCATTTAGCGGTAAAAATTCCCCGCTATATTTAGCGGAAATTGTTAGTCACTAAATTTAGGGGAATGAATTTCTTGCTAGATTTACCGCCAAAATTTTCCCGATATATTTAGCAAAAAAGTTGTCCGCTAAATTTAGCGGAAACATTTTTTCCCTAAATCTAGCGGGAAATTTCCCCGCTAAGTTTACCGAAAAAATTCCCCGCTAAATTTAGCGGAAAATATCTTACAAATTTAGCATTAGAATTTCCCGCTAAATTTAGCGAAAAAACACTGCGCTCGAAAAAAATTCCGCAAATTTAGCCTAAAACTTTTCCCACTGGAAAAATTTACCGATACATCTAGCGAAAAAAAGTGTCGGCTAAATTTAGCGAAAAACTTATTGGCTAAATTTAGCGGAAAGTATTTCCTGATAAATTTATCGGAAAAAATTCTGTGCTGAATTTGGCGGAAACATTTCCCGGCTAAATTTTCCAGCTAGATATAGCGAAAACATTTCCCCGCTGAATTTAGGGGGGAATTTTCTGCTAAACTTAGCGGGGATTTTTTTCACTGCATTTAGCGGGAAGTGTAGTGTAAAATTTTACGCGAAATGAAAGGATAGCAGGAGAGGAGGAGGCGAGGGGAGGATGGGGAGAAGGGGCATACCCTCGCCTCTGTAGCCTCCCCTCCTCCTCAAGCGCTGCGCTCTAATTCGGCATTACAGGAACTTGTAAACGTGTTTCAATTTTTTGTTCTTCTTTTAACTTGTCTGCACATTGAGTAGGCCAAGAAAACCTACTTCATGGTCAGACAAGTTTGTTTAGCGAAATCTACGGTTCAATCTGTACGAGCTATGTGTGCGCAATATGTATACTGGATATGTGTTTTTGTTTTGTCAATCAAACATAAAGTAAATATTTTAAGAATGGCTCATTTCGAAGGGTGAAATGTACACCTACATAATATTAATACCATTGTATTACTCCCCTATTTAGGAGATATATGCTTTGGTCATTCCAGAAAATTGTCGGGATTTTCAGTGACGATGTTTACGGGGTTTATACACGATAAATATTTAAATGTACTTACAAAATATTGATAAAACCCAGCCCTTCCTCCCAATAACATTGGCAAGGGAAGGAAGTGTTGGCATAAATAATAGCACCTCAAAGGGTTATTTTAATAGATTTAGAAGTAATTTCCTCTTAAAACGTTAACATGAATACTTGGCCCTTTCATCTCACTTGCATCATAAAGAGGTATACAGGCGTTTCCACATGAAGGTCCAGCGTATAAGCTGTTTGCAACCCCCTCCAACTTTCTTTGTATCAACATTTTACACATGTGTATATTAAGGGAGGGTTGGAGGGGGGTGGCGGAGTCAGGACAACCGGACTCCCCTCAGCATTCCTAAGTGATCACGGTAGATGATGTTTGAACGTGGGTCTTCTAAGAATGGTAAATCTTGTGTTCTTACCACTTCCACAGTTCCGTTTTGCTCTGACACCGACACAGCTGCCATCTTACTTTTATCGTAATAAATATTCTTTACCACCTCCTTTCCGTCCACCTGAAAAAAAAAAGATACTAGCACTAATATTTTGTAAAATAATCTGTAGGGTCCATTTGTGATTTTATTTGAATACGCTAATTTCCAAGCAATTTAGGTGCGTGCGAAATTAGAAACGCGAAAATTTAATTTTATGAAAAAATATTGTCTTTGTTTGTATGTTTGTAGAATCTTTTCCCTGGAAATTGTGGCTTATTATGCACCAGATTAGCGAAGAGAGAACACGAGTTTTGTCTAATTAGCTTTCCAAGGTTGCTCGAAGGTCTTTTTTTTTTTACAAAACGTAAAAAAAAAACCTCAGAAATATATATAGATATAGATCAACCGCAATTTTCAAATTAATTTTTTTTTTCAGTAGTTGCTTGTTTGTTCTTTAGTTGCGACAATCAAAAATCGTGAGGAAGTACTTCAAATGTATGGACTGGCCTTCTTCGCATCTTAACTTCCTCTTTTGAGTTCAGACTCCTCCCAAGCCTCCTTCCTCCTTCCCTCCAAATAAACACACATTTAGCTGTTGCTCCTGGTTTACGCTTTTACAGTAACTCTAAAATTTTTTTGGTGTTCATTGGGTTGAGTAATTGAAGGTACACATTTTGCGGAGGTAGTGCATAAATTGGCCTCTTTTTATTTCGCCCCATCCAAGAAGGTCGCAAAAGAATGCGAGTTATTGCGCCAGGCAGTGTCAATTCGATATACATTAAGCTCAAGGGCCTGTGTGTGAGCAACGCTTTGCTGTGAATGCTCGAGGGTTCGTGTTAGTCATACAGGTTCACTAATCCAATTGCAACCTCTGGGCACCCTGGCGGCTCCCCAGCCCAATTAAATGTAGTTTACTGTTGTTGAAACTGCTGGCTCCGTGTTATGTCCCGGGTTAGGTATGCAGCAAGGCAAACCAACCACAAACAATACTAAATGTATAAAGCCCCGCTACTTTAACGCACCTTCAAATCTTACTGTCTAATAAATTGACGTCTTTGCCTAGAGAAAAACGACCAGAAAAGCACAGCTTAAGAAACGAAAGTTTTGACTGAGACGCCCCAAAAAAAAATCAAACGCCTGTGCAGCCTTTTTTCTGTCTTTGATCCACTGAAAATATTTGGTTTAATATATTAGTCATTGTTCGCGGCAGAAATTCCCAACCACAATGGTTAATAGAAGTCGATATAATAATATTAATAATAATAGTAATAACAATAACAATGATAATATAGATATTTATAAAATAATCTTTGTTTGGGGTGCCCAAAAGCACCACATCAGTCTTCCACTTGGTGCGCCAACACAAACAATAAAACCAGCAAAAAAATATCCTAGACACTCATAAAGTTAAGAGACAAATGTAAGGTTATCCAAACGGCGACAGTACATTGAAACTGAAGCATAGTGAGCGAAGATAGTAGCAAACAAAATATCACGTTAGGCATAAAGGGACATGAAAGTTCACCCTTTGAGGGAGTTACGGAGAATCAAATGTACCATTAGCAACCTTGTGCAGAGAAAGAAAATCTCAAACAGGTCTCCTGGTAGGCAGAAGTAAAAGTCAGAAGATTTCGAGAATGTGTTCATAACTATAATAAAAGCTCCTCTCGAAGTATCTATCATCAACAATTTGAATCACCTTTTTCTGAACATTTTCGATTGTTATAGCCTGTGTCTTAGATATTAAGTTCCATATGACAGAGGCAAGCTCGAGTCGTGACCTCGCTGTAGATATAATTACATAAATCTCAACATCCATTTACCTAGACAAAGAAAACCATTATGAATTTGAGACCTCTAGATAAAAAAGGCAACTTCTCCGAGATAGCATATCAAGCTAAACATACATGTAATGAATGCAATCTAGAAGATCATCTGCGCTAACCAGAGTAGAGCACTGATCAGGTCACACTCGCAAGTCCAGTCTTCGTGATTGGAGGGTTATGACACATTCATTTCGATCAAGCTTGGTCACTCGGCGTAAAAGAAAACAGAGGATTCTAACGCAAAATACCAATCGTCGTAATCTGAACCGTGAGATGTTGAGAAATAAAATAATGTACACGGCAAGTCAAAGCCTCTTAGATTTTGAACCGTCTTGTATTATTTTTATCCGTGTCTAGAATTTAAATTGTGATGTTTCCTGGAAAGCTCGCTTGTATGTTTTGCTTCTTGCAATACAAACCTCAATATTATTTTTGTTAAACGTAAACAACGAAGAAATAATTCTTTGAGATTACACTTTCTGATAAGCGCTATTTACGCGGAATGACGAAATTTACTGCCAGATTCAGGGTTTGTAGAATTAACCTAAAACTTGGAAGCCACAAGAAAATAAAAACCCGGAAAGACGGATGAAATAAATAATGAAAAAATTTAGTCGAGTTGACTGAAAAATTCTTTATCTTTTTATTTAATTAAAATTCATGTTGTGTGGAATGTAGACTGAATTGTTACAAAATGGATAAACAAATATTCCTGTCCTACAGATTTTAGTAGTAAGCTCATTGGGCTGATTCAACACACAAGCATATATATCTAAGACGCTTTTCTTTACATTTGGAGGTCCATATATATTTGATCTTATGAGCATTTTGTGTACACGAAAGGGCAGCGTATGGCCAGAAAATTTATGGCCGCAGCAATGAGCTCAGTCTGCAAAATTTTGCAGCATTTTAGTAAGATATATGTTTATAAATACGAAAGAAACGGTAAATACAGCCATGCACATCTTGAATGTGAAAGTTACTTCGGAGGGACTTTAAGGTTATTATAAAATAACAAAGGCGAACGTTAAACATCAAATCATATGACAAGCTGGAAAAAAATTACTCATGAAAAACGCATACATCTTAATGCACAAGCAAAATTAAGGCAAAATATCACTATACACAAAATATTTGAAAAGTCGCCTTCTTTTATGAGTTATACTATTTCAAATGTGTGATAGGAAGAAGATTTGTCTATGCAGTCATTTTGTGTTAATATATCTGCAAGCATAGCAGCAGTATACTTTTTTGTTGTTTTACATTATAAAAGCATAAAGCTCCCTTGCATTAGAATATGAAATATTCAAACACTGCAGTATATACAGATGCCGATTTCACGAGGGAAAACACAATTTCACGACGCAAAAATATGATAGACTTTTTTGGAAAAATGAAAAATACTTACAATGCTATCTACTTGCTCAGCGCCATTAGTACTCGAGACAACTAACTTGTCGGCGATAGCAGAGCTTTTTTCTAAACTAAGAGAAAGTTGTTCAGTGATTTGAAGAATTTTTTCTCCGTTGGTTCCTCTTGCTTCCAGGAGTCTTGGATAAACAACATACTCTGCGGATAGACCTGTGTTAGAGGTGATAATAAATGTTTCTCTTTGCGCAAGTACATGTGCACAATTGCAAAGTTTCGCTGTATTTTATTTTAGCTGCGTTATTATAAAACAAATTTGAGTTTTTCAAAACGAACGGGTAATTCTGGTTTCAGCTTACAAACGTGATGCCAGAGAAAATCTGCTACGCACTACTGAATCGTATGCCATGAGTTTATTTAGCGAATACTAAATTTTTGTTTTTGATGCATGGCCGACTCGTCACAGTAAATACAAATAAAAAGCTTTGAAAAAACGCTTGGAAATAAATTAAACTCCGAGTATGTTATTGAACCACTGACTTCCCCGCCATCGAGGAAATAGTATTCGTTGTAAAGCGAACAACAGATATTCGAAACAGTGTTGTTTGAAATTAGCAATGAAAACAGCTTTGGTGAATCTACTACTCAAAGGATGCGTGCAAAATAACGTAGAACATTATCGACCTATTTCCATTCTGTCTTGCTTTGCTTAAATGCTGGAAAAACATTTGTGGATAACTATGAAGAGCTTTTTAAATAAACACTGTATACTATCTCCTTATCAGTGCCGGTTCACACGGGGCCGGGGCACTCAAATTCTCCTTGAGGACTTTTCTGACATACTCAATTTATCTTTTGAACGGAATCAAGTCGCCTGCGTACTCTTCTTTGATGTCCGCAAGACATTTGATAGTGTTAGCCATCGGATTTTGTTAAAGCTTTCAAACTTAAGCTTTTCAGGCTCTTTTCTACATATACTGAAAAGCTGTCTACAGGTTAGGCATTAATGTGTTTCATTTTGAGCGTATCATAGCGGATTTATTTCAATCAAAGCTGGTATCCCCCAGTGCTCGGTCTTAAATACACTGTTTTTTAATCTTTATGTTAATGACCTCTCCATGGCGATACCAATTTCACTATTTCAATATGCTGACGAATCCGTTATAATACCTAGAGCGTCTAATTTACCAGATGCCTTTTCGTCTTAACAACTGCGGCAGTTAGAACTATAGAGTGGTTTGAAGCTAATTTAATTAAAGTTAATGCATCGAAATCGCAGTTAATGTTTTCACAACCGGCCTCAAAAAAGTTAATATAACCTCCTCTTCACGGTAACATACGTCTGGATGTGTATTATGTGCATGTGAGCCTATACAGCATACGTCTTCTATAAAATACCTTGGCCTATTCTTTGACATTGACCGAACCTGGAACACTCATCTTGCTCATGCGTGTAAGAAAATCCGTGTAGTGTCTTGTTTGTTATACAACACGAGATATTTTATGCCACTATGAGTTCGGAAAATTGTTGTAGATGCTCTAGTCTACAGTGTGCTCCTTTACGATATTACCGTGTATGGTCATTCTGCACTCCGTTGGCAAATTAGAATTATTTCGATTGTGCGCTCTTTGTTAAAGAAGATTTCCTATGATTTATGCCTCGGTAAGGATATTGACATGTTTAAAGCACTGCAATTGCCTGATTTTAATCCGTTATTGATGGAAACTCTTGTTCATAGGCATTTTTGGAATAGTCAATTTAAAGTTCTATACGTATTCTTAGACCCAAAGAGCGTTACCCGATACCTCGACGTTCGACAACATTTGGAAACAGGGCTCGTAGTTACTATATACCAGCATTTCTGAACAAACTACCCTCTAGTATTCTAAATTTAAGAACAAAATACAAGCTCAAAAAAGCCCTGAGAAATTTTAGTTCTTAAAGTGCTCAGTAGTTTGCTTTTGTTATTCTAATTTCTGTGTGTGGATTTTATTTTGCAGGTCTTTTTTCATACGGCTGGTTTCAGTGATTGTAAGAAGCTGCCAGTCAAGCCCAATGTGGCTTAGGCAGGTCTGCCTTAACATACGTTTTGTTCATTTGCAGTAAAATATTAATATAATATGAAAAAAATGATCCGGGTACGTCTTAAGTGTTTAATATTTCGGATGTATATGAATCTTTTCCCCTTCCCTCCTTACGATATATATTTGTTTTTTTTCTGGTATATAGGAGTCACTGATCACAAAGAGAAAATGACACTCCGCATTTTAATATTATTGTGCTACTTTCAAAAATTATTATGCGCATTTTTTTAGGTGCCGCAGGAGCTTACAAATATCATGATGAACTGGTTTCATTAAAATGGATTGTTTGCAGGTTCTTTTTTTTTTGCTTGACGTAATATTAGAAACCTTTTGAATGGTTCTTTTGCGTCTCATCCCTTTTCGTATGTTATTTTTATTCTTCCTGAGTAAAGTTGAGCAGCGAACACTGCTGTATACTAAGGGACATCGCGATATACGTTGTCTCTTTCGCATTTCTCAGACGATCTGTCCCCGCTGTCAAGGTAAACTGTCTTAAAGTGATAGTTCCTTCTCTTAAATGCACCATCTTTTCGTAGTTCCGATGCGGACGAAAGTAGAAACAAGCTGGTCTGCGAACCTGGGTCTGATATCGCCAACACAGAACGCATACGACTTCTTCGAGTGGTATGTTAAGGTAAACTGCGTATTTTCGTCTCTAGTGGAGGTTACGCTACTCAGCCTGAAACCCGTAAAGGAAAGAAACAAAGAGCATTGGCTGTCCAACTGTGTAATGTATATTAACGCTACTTGGCCGGTGAAACAAAAACCAGAGGAAAGGGGAACCTCAAAAAGTTTAAAAGCGCCCTAAAAAATGGACAAAGACAAAGTAATACAATCAGAAGGCGGAGCTAGGATGCAGACCAAAATAATCATCTTGCGAAAGTGAGTTTTTGTACAAGGTTAAATTTGTGAACAGAAGAAAAGTTCAAGTGAATTATGATTTTAAGCTTTCACCCTTTTTTTTATTCCAGGTGTCCTGTAAAACCGGATTAAAAGGCAACTCCGCTTCATTTTTGGTTTAAACAAAAACAATTCAGTCCTCTTCAGTATCGCCTAGGAAGACCACACGTCTAATATTAAAATGCAGTTTTTTCTAAATACTTTTTAAACGGTCCGGGAAACTTTGCAACTGGCTAAGTTGCCGAAATCGGCTGACTCGAGCCGGCGAATTCAGGCGCAACAAACAGCGCACTCAAGGCGAATTCAGCGCATGGACGGAGGCAACATTGAGCTAAACGTCATCATCATGGCCCCCTTCCGCTTGTTTTTACTTATTGGGGCGAGCGTAGCGCATGACGTCAGCAACGTTGCCTCTCGGCGCTCGGCGGTGTCCACGTGATTGGCGTAACGCGCCTGCGCAGCGCGCTTCTTGGGAGCCGTCCGGCCGCCCGCCATGGTCCCGCCGTTACCGCCGTCTTCCGCGTCACAGCCACCGTCGTCGTCTCACCGTTTGTGATTAATAGGGAGTTGTAGTATATAGTTTTTCTCCTCCGCTAAGGTATTCCCGAAAAAACGCCGCAACCGCGCATGCGCGCCGCCAGCCTTGTCTGCATGGTTCAAGGTCTTGTGGCGGATTACGGAGCGCTATCCGGGTGCTTAGCGGGCTGCTGGAACGGTCTACTATAATTCCCGATCGTATCTCGGAGTTTTGTCCACACTACGGACACCACGTGCGCAGACTTAAGGGGTGTCCAAACAGGACACTACAAAACCCGCGACTCCGACAAATCGTGAAAATTGAAGCGGACGCTTCTATTTTTACGGTCTGTCGGAGTCGTGAAAATGTTTGCAGGAGTCGTGAAAATTTTTACGATCACGACTGCTCTCCTCTTCAGATTGACGTCACACGCCACCTGCGTCTGTCTCACCTCGCCAACGCCCTCGCGTACCGCCGTCGCCTCGGCTCGAAGGCCAAGGAGGTCCGGCTTTGGCTGGATTTGGGACATTCCTGCGTCAAAGGGTGCGTTTCGCCCGCCTCGGATCTGCTTTCTTTGTCGAGATTCACTTTCGTCGTGATGGTGTCCGATGCGGTTCCGTATTGTGAGCGGAGGCCTTGAGCAATTGACCGACAGCCAACAGAGCGTGTGAGTGGCTCTCCGGACCCACGTGATAAGCAGAGCAAGGCCGCCGTGGAGGAAGCGAGGGGGAGATTTGACGGAGGGAAATTTCCCCCCGGGAAGAATTGACGGAGGGAAATTTCCCTCCGACGGCCGGAAGCGGATCGCGGCAGAGCGCGGCACGATTTGCCGGAGTCACGGGTTTTGTAATGTCCTGTTTGGACACCCCTTTATGCCGCAGTTGTGCAGACGTCGTCCAATGCCGTAGACATCAAAACGTGGCGAAGAGCGCGGTACAGACGATACTCGCGCCTGCCACACGCCCGCCCCAATCGCGCCCGTCGTTGGGCCAAGGATTACGTGAAATCTCGTACCACGTGAGGGCCATGTACTTGGCGGCCCGATGCCAATGTTGCCGGATCGAGCCGAAGTTTGGGTTTCAATTTCCGCTCGTGTTTAAAATTAGGTTAAAAATATATATTCCATTTTTCGCAAAACAAAGGACGTAGTGTCTTTTACTAGGGCTTTTTAATTCGAAATCACTAATTATCCTGAAATCTTTGGAACGAAGTTGAGTTGCCCTTTACAACCTACTTTTAGTGCCCAGACTACGTGAAAACCATACGTATTGGTTTAAGCATTAATGCACTCTAACTATTGTTTAACTTTATCTTTAGAAATCTGAAATTAGGTTCATACTTTCATGTGAATGCCAAGTAAATTACATCTAAGCGAATCAATTTTTTTCTTGCAAAAGTTTGGATGCCCATGTTTCAACTAAGTGCATAGCCTAAGCAAAAAATTAAAACATGCCTTTTAATGGGCGCGATGCATCTTTTGCCGGGCGATATTAGGTGGAAGATGAAGTGACTTAGGCAGAGTAATGAAGGGACGCAGTGCCAGTACGCAAGGAGTGAATGCAAGATTCCTTAAAGGTCATGTGGAAGAGCGTCGACTGAATCCAGATGCGCTGGCTAAACGATTTCTTGGTGTTATTTTATATTGTAGTCCCAATTAAAGTCCCGGAGGTTCGCAGTTTGAGCCTGAAGCCTTTCTTACAATATGTTTCCG